CTCCTTGGGGTGGGGGTGGGGTGGGAGTCTTTGCACTGGCCTCTAACCTCACCCGGCTGTATCTGGACACCACGGAGGAGGGTTTGGATGGTGGGCACTGGAGGCAGAGACAAGCCTGGCACCTTGACAGCAGCTCACAGGGTGGGTCAGGGGGGACAGGCGTAAAGAGGGTGAGCAAGGTGCACGGGACCAGTGCTGCAAGTGAAGCGTGCTACTGAGATTATACACATCCGGCATCCACCTGCCCAGACACAGGAGGTATGGCCGGGAGCTGGGTCTGGTTGGCTTGCTGCTGCTTGGCAGCCCTGCAGCTACTGTCCTGAGCCCAAGCCTGGCTCCCAGAGCAGGTTTTACCAGGGGCCTCCTGCCCGGGTCTCCCTGGCGGCAGCTGCTGCTGCCACAACCACGTTTCCCTCCTGGCAGAAGCATCCTGGCTTCTGGAAAACCTCCTGACAGCCTGCCTGGCACTGCCAGCCGGGCCTGTGTGAGGCCGTCGCTGCCTGGAAGACTGAGCTCTACTCAGCGTAGATCACAGGCCCAGTGCTGCCTGGCCAGACGGAGACCGACCCGATGCTGTGGGCGTCTGGGAGCCCCTCTCCCCATCAGTCAGTGACTGCTCCCTGCCGCGGCCCCCCTCCCACTGCCCCCATTCCAGTCCACCCTGTGGACTCCAGCCTTCAGGTGGATCTTGTCACTCCCCACCTCAAAAGCCTCCCTGGCTCCCCACTGCCCAGAGCACCCCGATTCCCACAGGTGACGAGGCCTGGCCCAGTGACGAAGGCCATGTCTGCTTCCTCTTCTGTGTTTGAAAGAATACCCTGTGGTCACAGCTGGTCCCACGAAGGGGACCCGGCAGGGGAATTCCAAATGCGCCTGCTGAGCCTCAGTGCGTCATTTTGGGCCTCCTGGCGGGTCCCAGTCCCTGTGTACATGACAGGAGGGGCTGGGAGAGCCCGCGGCTTCCTTTTCTTCCAGATAATTTCCCACGCACCCACCCATCCTTCTCTCCCCTGACCCCAAGGCTCCCCCCAGGCCAGCAGGGTGAGGACTCACTTTGGAAAAGGGGTGAGAGGATTCCAGAGTTCAGGACCCCCACCTAACTGACCCTGCACTGCTGTCTGCAGGAGGAGCGGCCCCCCTACCACCGCCACAAGAAGGGGGGCTCCGTGGGCAGCGTGTGCTACCTGTCGATGGGCATGGTGGTGCTGCTCATGGGCCTCGTGTTCGCCTCCGTCTACATCTACAGATACTTCTTTCTCGCTCAGGTGAGGCTGGTGGGCGGGGGAGCAGGCTCTCGGAGAAAAGGGAGCATTCAGAGAGGGAAGTGTGGGAGTTTGCAGCGGATGTGGGAGCTAGCAGGAGAGGGCAGCGTGAGCAATTGAGAGCCAGGTGCTTGGGGTTTGTGAAGAGGAGGAGCAGGAAGTCCTGGGCATGCCCTCCAAGATGGGAGGAGTGCCCAGGCTAGCCCAGAAGGCCTGCCCCCTCGTCCTCCCTGGGGAGCCTCGCTCTGGTCCAGGAGCCAGGACTGGGGCCCGCCCTCTAAGGCCCACAGACCCTGGACGAGGGTCCTTACCCATTTCATCAGACACACCTGTGGTCAACAGGAAACTCTCCCAGGGATACAGTCAGCAGTGGGGAAGCCGGGATTAGAACCTGGGCCCGTGTGACCCGAGGCCCCTTCCCACAGAGTCAGCTGGGCCGTTGTCACCAGAAACTCAGACTAAGCACAAATCAGAACTCTGATCCCTCAAACCCTGTGCCCAAGGGTCACACTTTAAGGAATTCCCTCCCATTTTGTGTTTGGACGCAGGTTTTGAAACGAGAAAGGTGGAGGGTGGGTTTACAGACCCACACACACCATGCCCCCAGCTGGCCCACCCGCAGCGATCTGCTCCTGCAGCCAGTCTGGGCTTCAGCCAGGTCAGGAGAACTGCTCATGGTCACAGTGACCTTGTGATCAGCACAGCCCTGGGGAGGGAGGCAGTGCCCCGGAACTCTGGGAAGTAGTTAAGGTAAAGGTAGCTCAAAAGAAGAACCTTAAGTACAACAAATGAGGAATCTCAGAGGGATGAAAAGGCTGCAAATTGCCAGTCATTTATGACCCCAGTGACTTCTCCCACCCTTAAGCATTGGCCTTTACCTTGGTCCTCACCCAGTTTTCCCACAAGGGAAATCGCTGAAGAGTTTCTGTTCCCTGGGACTTTCCCTTTGGAACCCGCTGACTTCCCTTTTGTCCAACCTCCCCTCCCCGCAAGGCCTGCTTCCTACCTTTCCCTGATTCTCACTTTCCTGTGCGGACCCTGGGGCTCTTTCCTGCTGTGGCCACAGCCTCTCCTCCACCCACTCTGGCTTCTGAGCCCCTCTGTTCCCAGCCCCACGCACACTCCAGGGTTCCTCACCCACAATTCCCAGGGACTGGGGCACCTCAGAGTAGCCTCTGGTCTGTGCCCTGGGACCCTGTGATTCGGGCGTGCCGACTCACCCTGGAGCTTGCACGGAGACTGGAGGAAAGTCCTGCCCAGTTCAGGCCAGCTGTCCGGCACCGATGGAGGAGGCCCTGGAGATTACCAGTGGGCCCACCCGGTCGGCCCCTGGCCTCAGTCATGTCATAATGCCTCCCTTCCCTTATTTTTTAAAATACATTTTTATTGATTTCAGAGAGAGAGAGAGAGAGAGATCAGTGATGAGAGAGAATCATTGATCGGTTGCCTCCTGCACGCCCCACACTGGGGATCAGGTCGTTGCTCAATCACTGAGCCACGCTCGCCTGGCTCCCTTCTCTTATGATGGAGGGATGAGGCCGGCCACTCAGGGAAAACAGCGTTTGTCAAGGTTTCTCAAGAGGCATGGGGCCCAGGAAGAGGGGGCTGGTGTGAGGTTGGACATGGAACTGGAATCACAAGGGCTGCCTCTCAGCTCCTCCCCGCCCCCCACTTTGCCCCCAGGTCTTCAGGGCCCCACAGCAGGGGGCAGGAAAGACGGGTGACTGCCCTCTGGTGGCGGTGTAGGGCGCTGTATGCCCCCGGAGCCCAGCTTGTTCAGTTCAAGCTCCTATATTTGCCCCTGAGGACCCTCCTGCTCACCCCAGGCTCTTTCTCAGGTGTCTGTCCCTCTGGGTCCTCCCCATTTCCCAAGCACAGACTCATGGACCTGAAGCCAGAAGAAAGTTGAGGGAGCACCTCACTTTACAGATGGGGAAACTGAGGCCCAGAGAGGTCATCCACCCAGGAAATGGTTGGCCCAGCTCACCCTCCCTGACTCCCCACGTTTCTCAGTTTCTCCATCTGTGAAATGGGTCACAGTCCCACCCTTGCTGTGTCCTCAGGCCTTCAGAGAGTAAAGTGGATGGGCAGGTGGCAGTGGCCAGGCCCAGGGCACTGCGTGACCAGTCTGTCTCTCCCCACCTTGCTCAGCTGGCCCGAGACAACTTCTTCCACTGCGGCGTCTTCTACGAGGACTCCCTGTCCTCCCAGGCCCGCACGCGGATGGAGCTGGAGGAGGACGTGAAGATTTACCTCGAAGATAACTACGAGCGCATCAACGTGCCGGTGCCCCAGTTTGGTGGCGGCGACCCTGCAGACATCATCCACGACTTCCAGCGGGTGAGGCCAGCCAGGGGCTGAGGCTGGGGCCGGGGCGGGCAGAGGGACACCCAGGGGCCACAGCCCCCTTCCACCAAGAGTAATGAGGAAGAACGGGTGTGAAAGGAGAATGCTGACGGCCCTTGGACATGCTTTGACTATAGACAGAGTAGTATCAGCTGTGTGTAGGGCATGACTCCAGCTTAGCTTTGTTGAGATTTTAAAGACATTATTTTTATTATACCAGATGCTAAAGTAAGTTTATAGTTGTGCGTATACAAAACACAAAGTTTTTGTATTATTATTTAGTGATTGTATTATTTTCATACGAACAACTGAACCTACTCCGGCCCTCCCTGCATGGGTTACGTAGTTATCCCTGAATGAACCAGCCACGGATTCTCCCCCCGCCACCTGGCAGCTGCAGACGCTGGCTTCGTGGGTCAGGGTGTCCCTTTTTATCGCATATTCCTGTGCCCACGCTGATCGAGGTGCAGCACAAGGAGGGCCTGGGATCGGGGGTTTCTCCCTGAGGGTCCCCAGAGATGGGCCTCCCAGCTTTGATGATATGCAGTCGGGACATCACTGTATTCCCCAGACCTCGGCTCTGTCACCCCATGAGAAGAGCCCTGTGACACAGGCATTTAACACTTGGTGTCTTTCATCTAGTAAATGAAACACAGGCTGGGAGAGGAGCAGAAAAAAGGGGTGTATCCCCACAGCGGGGGTGGGGTTTCAGCCCCTTCCCCCCATGGGCCAGGCCCTCACCTGCAGGGACTGACATGACCCCCTCCTTCTCTCCAGGGTCTGACCGCCTACCATGACATCTCCCTGGACAAGTGTTATGTCATCGAGCTCAACACCACCATCGTGCTGCCCCCTCGCAACTTCTGGGAGCTCCTCATGAACGTGAAGGTCAGCTGTGGTTTTGCCATATCTTGTCCCTCCCTGTGGAGCCAGGCCTGGGGCAAGGGAGGTTCCATGTCCTCACTCCATGCCCCCGTCCATACCCCACTATATACCTCACTGCACACCCCAGTCCATGCCCCAGTCACAGTGCAGGGAGATGCGGAGGCCCTGCCCTTTGGGTGGGAGGCCAGACTCCCACACACGCAGAATTCAGGGCAGCGTAGGCGGCAGTACTTAGCACAGCAGAAGCGCCTGGGGCATTAGAAGGCCGAGCTGTGGAGCCTCTGAATGAGGGAGGGGGCATGTGTGCGTTTCAATGTTGGGGGACACAGCTCGAGTGAGCAGAAGGGTGGCGACAGGGGGAGTGGGCAGTGAAGTAGTGGAGACCACAGGAGGGGGGCCCTGTGTACTGACCAGAGCTGTGGCCACTCCCCTTGCAGAGAGGCACCTACCTGCCACAGACGTACATCATCCAGGAGGAGATGGTGGTCACAGAGCACGTCAACGACAAGGAGACCCTGGGCTCCTTCATCTACCACCTGTGCAACGGGAAGGACACCTACCGGCTGAGGCGCCGGGCAACTCGGAGACGTGAGTGGCCGCCTTGGGCTCCAGACCAGGGCCATCCCCCGTGTGCTGGCCCCAGAGCTGGAGGCCAGTGGTCAGACAGCTCAGATAGCAGCAGCAATAAATGTTAATTGAGCACGGACTACACACCATGCGTTTTACGGTCTTTATGTCCTTAAAGAGTATAAGTTACCATCATCGTCATCATTACTGCTGCCCCTTTTAAAGGTGAGGAAACTGAGGCTCCGAGAAGTTAGTTAATAGCAGGTCCTGAGTGCTCAGCATTTGACTGCACTGCCTTGGAGTGGACCTGGGTTTGGTTTCCTGGGCCT